GTGGGAAAGAAACTTATAATGAGGAAATCAAGGGTGGTGTAGTGGTAGTGCACTCCTCTCTCACCTTTGAGGTCTTGTGAGGGAGACTAGAATTGTGGAAAAGAAACTTGTAATGAGAAAATCAGTCTCAAGGGTGATGTAGTGGTAGCGCACTCCCCTCTCACCTTTGAGGTCTTGTGAGGGAGACTAGAATTGTGGAAAAGAAACTTATAATGTGAAAATCAGTCCCAAGGGTGATGTAGTGGTAGYGCACTCCCCTCTCACCTTTGAGGTCTTGGGTTCCCTAAACTTGGCATCARGTTTCTGCCAGTAGAGTTTCTAGAGGTTTCTCTTGATTAGGGTTTTTTTTAGGGGGGGAGTTAGGGTTGGTGCATTCTACTTTTTATCAGCTTGGACTGCCTGTGGTTAGATGGCAGAACAATAAAATCCCTGTGCTCTTGGGAATTTAATTCTTTTCATGTAAAATGATGATATTGTTCCTGCCATCTAACATGGCTGCCGCCATGTGATGGTGCAACACCTCTATATACCCTGTATTATGACAAAGTGATGTAATTTGCAGTATCATACCCAGAGCTCCTCAGTATGGTTCCTCCCCTGAAAAGGCTCTGGTAACAGTTGTAGAAGCTCTGGGTACGAGACTTTTTAATGTGAGGCTGTGGGGGGCAGTCACAACAGGGTTTGGATAATACCACTTCATGTTCCATCGGCTGGGYTTCCTGTTTCCTTTGTCAGTCAAGGGGCCTGGTGCAGGGGGTATCCAAAATGGCCGCTTTGGCCGTAACAAAAGATGGAATAGCAATTTTATCCTTTTTTTAAACAGAAATTCTTAGTTTTTAAACATTTTTTTAAAGGTAAGCTTGAATTATATGTGATTTTTTAAATTTTCAGCGCTTCTTATAGAGACATTTCAGTTGTATTCGAATTCACTACGAAAACACCACAAAACAATTTTCTTAAAATTCAATCAAAATCTCAAGTGATTTCGTTCCTTGTTCATTTTTTTACAAAGAAAATCCCAGGAAAAATAACAGCAGCAGTAGCAACCGTAGCTAGAGCATCAACGAGGTAACGAAAAAAGCTGCTGGAACCGTGCACGACAACAATATCAACAAAGGCAGCAATAACAACAAGAACAACAAGAACAGCGACAACAACGACAACAGCAACGTTAGCTTGTCAAGCACTATACATCTATTTTCATTTTTTTCAGCAGGCTGGCAGCTTGTTACTCTTCTTTACACGAACAGCTAGCAGGCTGGCAGCTTGTTACTTTTCTTTACACGAACAGCTGTTTCTTGAAAACCTCCAAGAAGATTTAGAAAGTTTTCTTCAGACTACTGATAGCACAGAGGTGATAGTGTTACCACCTTTGTGCCCTCGATACAGATACTTGACTCACAACCTTGTTCAAAATGAATTTCCCCCTCTAAGGAGTGTGTCCATAGGGTCAGATAAAAAAAGAAGAACGGTTATCTTCCTAAAGCCACAGACATTAGACAGCAATAGGTATTGGAGGACTACTGTTTCTTGCCGCTAGCTTATTATGAATATACCCATTTCCATAATTATGACACTCAGACAGTTAGCTATAATTCAAAATGTCTCGGTTTTTGGCTTCTACCTATCAAAATTACGATGGTCTAAGTTAGTAAGCTTTTGATTGATGGAAGCCAAAAATCCAGATGTCTTGGGCTGAGTTGGTTGTACAACTGCGTTGCTAAATGGGTAGGATATAGTTGTGCTCCTTGTCTGTAGTGTAGTTTTCACATAACAGTGGGTGTGGCAATTCCATGTCTATATGAGTTTTCATTGGATTATTACAGTGACAAGCTGTGATTGGTTCAATTCTACTATTTTAAGAAATTAGTGCTATATTGTAGGCGTGACAATGCTATATCTGTAAGATTTTTGATTGGATAAGCTGTGATGCACTCAAGTTATGATTGGTTTAATTTGACTTGTTCAATCATACAGTTCCATACCTTTTAGTGACAATATATTTCCTGATATTGGTGTCTTGGCTGCCATTATTAGTGCTATATAATTACTTGAGGCCTACAAATTAGTCATTTTCACTTGTTCTACTTTGCAGTGAAAAAGTAATGTCAATGAATTCAGTTGGAAATCAAGGCAAGAAGAATCTTTCCATCGGCAGAGGTAGAGGGAAAAGAAGTGATCAACAAAAACCGATACAAATCCAAAACATCCCTTCTGGATCAAAAAGTGAAAGTCAGTCAAAGACACCTGATAAAACTCTGTCTATGAGGGTTTCAAGAGGAAGGGGCTGGAAAAGACCTGATCAAGCTATATATGTTCCCAAAGCTTTACGAAAGAAAGACAATGTTGATGGGCAAAGCCCCGAGGATAAATCTAGGGAAGAGGATGAAGTTTGTCAACTCGTAAAGAAAGATAAAGGCATTCTTTCTGATTATGACAGCTTTCTTGAACAAAAAAGTGCTGACAGACACTCATTGACTAGACAGTATCCTGAGAAAGAGGAGACTGCTGTTTCGGTAGCATCGAGGGGGGATCAAAAAAGCTGTAACATTTCCAATGAAAAAGAGGTGGAACCACATGTAAATACTTTATCAGAGTCAGTTACAGCAGGTAGTTCATGTAGCAATGATGCTGCTCCCTTGGATACAAACAAAAACCCAGTTGATATATCTGATATAAATCAAGATTGTTATGAGACAAAAAATGAATCAAGAAATGAGAAGGTTAAAGAAGAGGCAACAGCAAAAATTCTGAGAACTGTAGAAAATCAAGACACTTGTACAAAAAGGGATGAGAAAGAAGAAGAACAAAAATTATGGGAAAGTGAAGGCAAAACAGGAATGGACAGTGAAGGCTCTGCTGATGGGACTCAAATGATAGACATATGTCAATCAATGCCACTGGTAACATCTTGTGAAGAAAGTGATAAAAATGAGCAAAATGGACAAAAGTTGTTAGAAAATCAAGACGTGAGAAAAAGCACAACATCGAACCAGCAGAAACCAGTGATTGACAGCTTTCAAACAAGCTCATCTGTGGAATCTTACCATGTGGATGATGACACAAAGAGTGAGGAAGAGGTGCAAGAGAATATATTGAACACAGACCAGCAGCAATGTTTGACTAGCAATACGAGCTTGATGTTGAATAAATCCATTACCGAAAAGGAAAATTTGCAGAAAGAGGAAAGTGAGTTCTCAGAGAAGAACCAAGTATTGGGAATTGAAACCAAAGAGAAAGAGAATAAAGATAGTGATGTATGTCAATCATCATTAAATGTTAAAGAACTAAACACTGGATTTTATAATAAACATGATATTATCCTTCAAGATAGTATGTCTTCACCTTCCTCAGAAGGAGATGTTGCCTTAGAGAATGATTCAAAGATAGATGAAACCTGTGATGATGAAGGCTTGCCTGAGGAAACCTCTAAAATTTGTGTTTTTAACAAAGCTTTAATAGATCTTAAAGATGAGTTGCCTGGGATTTTAAAGGAGAATTCTGAGGGCAATCATGTTGATGATAAATCAATTTGTTCTAAAAGTGAAGTCAGTCGTGAAGTCAATGCAGAAGTAACTCCTGACGAGTTACTTCATGAGAATAGTAGTGAGAAAAATGAAACTGTGAGTGGAAATCAAGAAGATCAGAGAGAATCTGATGATTTTAAAGTCATAGAAACACAAGGAGATACAGAATCTGAACAAGGAAAAAATGTCAGTATTTTAGAGGTGGGCAATAACGAGGAAGGAAAAATAGACTCTGATAATAATGTAAACAATGAGATGAAATCTGATGAGAAAGATGCTAAACACAAGAAAAAAAGTAAAAAGAAAAAGGGAGATGATGAAACCAAAGAGGAGAAAAAGAAAAAGAAAAGTAAAAAGAAGGAAAGTGAAAATGGAGAACCAAAGGAAAAAGAGAATGATGAAAAACGTAAACTGAAAAAGAAGGAGAAAAAGAAAGCAAGTAGAGAAGATTCTGAATCAAAATCTAAAGATCATAAATCCAAGAAAAATGCAAAGGACAAGAAGGATAGAAATGACGGCAATGATGAAGATAGTGAAAGCTGGGAGTCAAAGTTCAATGAAGATGGTGAATGTCTTGATCCAGAGCTACTAGAAGAGGTACTATTAAAACAAAATTACAAAATTTGTATAGCCCTGTTTACACTGGCGTTTTTGCGGTGATTTTTGCTGCGATTTTTGTGGCAATGTTCGGAAATATGAAATCTTTTGTATCATCCTTCAAAAGAGACATTCGTCTAGGAAAATCTTGGTATCCTGAAAAAAACTTTACTAGCAAATTCTTTATCATTATTTATTATGGAAAATCGCAAAAAAATTGCTAGTGTAAATGGGGCTTATGGCAGAAAATTGGAAATTCTAGGGGGGGGACCTTTTTCAAATTTCCTCCATGGTGGGGTATGGAAATTTTCTGGCACCACACCTGTACATTTAATGCTCTTATAACAAAAACTTTCCTGTCATATAGAGGAAAAGGTGATGAAAGCAAGAATACAGATTTCAACTCTCAATATTATCCTGAATCTAATTGTACAATATAGAGCCCTTGCAGCACTTTGGAATGCAGCTCAATCTGGGGGACAAAACCATAGGTTCCAATTCTTGGGAAATTGGAATTCTTTTGTTTTGTCCCCCAGATCGAGCTGCTTTCACATGCAAGGGATCTATACATGGTGTTTGCATATTACAGCTTACTGAGGTGACAGGTATTAAAAAACCTTCAAAGCGCAAGACACAGTTTGATTACTATGCTCTCCCACCCAAGGAAGTGATAATAGATGAAGACTCAGGTATTTGCAATCTAGTATGTGCTTTGCATTTGATTGAGAAGTGCTACTAAAAGGACGGGGGCTAAAAATATAAGGGGGAGCTTGACCAAATTTTGCTCGACTTGTAAGTAACAACATATTTTACTGTAAATTCATTACTTTGATCAGCCCCTGAAGTGGAAGGAAAATGACATTTTTGTTTCTTCATGAAGGGTATGGGCACATTGCTGAATTGTATGACTTCTCTCCTGAACTCAAGACTCAAGACCTCGTACAGTTATTATCTTCATTYAAGTAAGTTTCTTCCTAAATTTCATGCTGTTTGTCCTGAAACAGCAATATTATAAAACTATCATGGCTGTATCTAACCTGCCAGGAATGAATAGTTCTTTGGGGAATTTGTCATTTCAGGAATCAAGGTGATGAAATCAAATGGGTTGATGACACTCATGCATTGGCAGTTTTTTCTAGTGAGATTGCAGGTAGGAAACATACTGTTCATAGGCGTGCATATCAATTGGGAGGAAAATTGAAACCTCTAAGGGTTTAGGTGTACTCGGCATTGTATGTGATCATGAGTAGAGTTGTTTTAATAATATTTAATATTTAATAATATTGATTTTCTCCTGTGCTTAAGGGTTTTTCTCTGGGTTTTCCTCCCTCTGTAAAAATCAACTTTTAAATTCCAATTGGAATCCAGCGGAAGAAGAGTCACTCTTTGGAATCACTGCATGTGAATTCCCATTTATGTAAATTTTTTTTCATATTTTGGCCAAGGTCTGGGGAGTTTTTATCTTAGGCTGATATGGCTACATCATCTGACATCATAAAATCATTGTCTTCACAGCTAAGCAGGCAATCCAGATGTGTTCCAGTCCCATAATAAAGCTACGCCCTGTCAGTCAAGGAATTTCCGAGTCCAAGAGCAAAGCAAAGAGATGCTTTAGTAAGTTAGACTGGTGTAAATAAGTGTTTTCTGAAAAATGCAGGTATCTAATACAGCTATTTCGAAAAAAGGTTGAAGAGGCAAATGGAGATAGGCAATGAGCAATAGATGATAAGTGATAGACAGGTCATTCCAAGATCTAAGAATAGCTGGAATGACGTGTATTTCTTATTAACATTGTTGTCAATAACACAGATGTTGTTGTTTGTAGTTGACGAAACCATTTAAAACACCTCGATTATTCATGTTTGGATCCCCACTGTTTTTCAGTCATGCAATCGCCAATCACCAATTTCCATTTGCTGTTCGCCCCTTCAACTTTTAAAAAAATAGCTGTATATTGTTTCAACAGGTGTTCCGCAACCCTACAAACCACGCCCAAAAACCACTAAATTGGCAGCTCATAGACTTGTCACTGGTGCCCTTGGAGTGAGGTCTACTATGAGTAAAGAGGAAAGGGAGAGAGAAAAAGAGAAGATAAAGGAAGCAAAAGGTAGGACCTTGAAATTGGGTTCCCTGTGGTTGAGAACAACCACAGGAAGCCCAATACATTTAAAACGGATTTTAGACTGAAACCCTTTTCTTTTCCACTTTTAGAGCAAAAGCGTCAAGAAAAGCAAAGGAAAGCAGACGTTTGGGGTGACTAGCAGTCTTGATAACTTCAAGTTCACACTATTAATTTATATGAAAATGCAAAAAGAGCTAGAAAAAATGCCAGTAAGATATTATTTTATTACTGTTAATTTATTTACATGTACAAATAAGACACAAGCTACAAATATATATATACAATACAAAATGTTCAAGTAAGAATAAAGATGTATGTAAAAACAGCAATGATGTAGCACTTGTCACATGGCAATGCTCACATATTTTTGAGCGTTGCTGTTCCATAACTTATAAGACTTTTTTTTTTTTGGATTCCATATTCCATCAATCAAAAAATTACCAACTCAAACTAATGAAAATATACCAAATCCATCTACACATAATATTTTCCCATTTCAGACCATGTGTCATTCTCTTGAGAATAAAATAGAGTATTTCCACTATCACATGCTGGCACCCATAATAGTTTGGACTGCCTGTGATTAGATGGCAGAACAATATCCCTTTGCTCTCGGGAATTGAATTCTTTTTCATGTAAAACAATTGTATTGTTCCTGCCATCTAACATGGCTGCCCTCTGGTGATGGTGTAAAACTTCTATTCTTTGTTTGAGTTGTATGCATATTCATGTGTCTCATTCACAATCATTAAACAAAGAAATGATACTCTAGGGAATGACGTGGTGAGAAATAGAAAAAAAAAAAACAGTGGATTTGGTCTATCCATGGACAGAAGCCAAAATATGTAATAACAAAAATGTGTGGAAAATAGAAACATGATAAGCACCACAAAGTTCTTGCTCTCATATGTCCAATTTTTCACCCAAAGTATCATCAAGTCTTGTTCCTTCTGGTATCATCTTGTCATTATTGCATGGAGCTTTTTCTGTTAATAGCATGGTTATCAAGATATTCTATATTCTATCCAGGGATTCCATGGTCACTATACTGTTTCCTCTTATTACCTAATAAAAAAAAATGATTCAGCTGATGAATATTCTACTTGAGACAGGAAATGATGTCAAGTAACATTACAACCTGTAATATTTACTTAATGGTTCCCTTACTGTGTAAGATGTAATCACTTGCTACAGGTTGAAACATAGAGGAGTTTCAGGAATAGAAGGAGACCTCAGAGGTAAGAGATAAATGCACTACTGCTATTAAATATACCCTCGATTCCCATTCTTAATATCAGATTCTGCACTTACCACCATTCCAATGCTGTGTTTTTCAGTAGCAGAAGCATCTTCAACAGCTTCATCAAGTACTAGGTTCATAAAAGGATCATATCCTCTGAGTACACCCGTTACATGTCGACCACCATTTAGTTTCACTTTAAAAAAAGAAAATAAAGATACATGTTTGATAAGAGTTGCAAAAATGTCTTTCTCAAAACTAAAATTTCCCAGTAGTCATATGCATAGTTGAGAAGAAGATTATCAAAAACTTGTGTTTGCATGTTACTGAATAAATATGTGGACTATTCCGGTGTTTTATGTTCTGTCAATACTTTTGGAAATCCAAGTCAATGTAATTGACTGCAGCTATAACAACCAGGGCTTAAAATAACGGCCAGTCAGCTGCCTGTCATGATCAACAAAACCTTTTCTGGCTCAACATTACTGGTCAAAATGACTGACAAGGCAAAGATTTGACCAGACAAGTTCCAATTCTGGCCGGAAATTGTCGATTGACAACTGATGTTTGGAATGAACTAGGTCACAGACAAATGAAACAGTATGGAGGATGTTCTTATTATTCTACACACCCAAAATATTTATGTACCTCTCCATTCTAAATACGACCAGAAAATTTACTTTTGGGTATGTTTTTCCATGTCAAACTGTGTGCCTGCCCATGTAACATTTCTTTCCTGATAGTAATAACGTTGTGAAGAGGCCAAGCAGGAAATATAGCAAAAACGAAGACAATTTTGCAGATTCTTTGTTATGGCTGCCAGAAATGAAAGGAGGTGCAATGTCTGCTACTTGTCATCTCTATGATATTATAAGTTTGGTGAAGAAAGACACCCAAAGCAAAGTTCATAATACTTACATGATAATTTCTTATCCATGTACCTAAAAAACAAAATCGATCGTTAGTAACCGCCAAGACTTATAACCTTTCAGTTGCAAAGCAGTATGCCGGTACCTTCATAATTAGGCAATCTTTACCGATTTCTCGTGCAATTTTTGTCAAAGGAAAGTAGCTGTGGTTTAGTAATAATACTCTTGTCTCACTTACTTCTTTAACTCTGGAGGATGGGCTTTACTCATGATTATTTTTGATGGATTCTTTTACGAACTTTCTTGGTTAATCTTCAGACGCGAAGAAAACGTTCTGCAAAGACGTGCGCCTGCTGTCTTTCGGCACAGCGCGGGCACCACAGGGATACCAAAAACTATAAAATACGAATTTTAATTTTTAAAAAATATAAGTGTAAAAAATTACAAATGATTTCAAAACTAAGACAAACTGAAGGAAATATGTATATATTTTTGTAATGAAACCTTAAAAAGGTTGATAATATTTGAAATATTGTATTTAAATTAATATTTCATTACCAGTCCTCCTCGCGTATTCTTAATCCAAAATGGCGGACTCAAGGTTAAAGAAGCGCCACAAGAACTTGTGCTTACAAATAATGAACCGTTCTGTCACTGGATCAACCGTAAGAGACGATATAGGGATTATTAGGACCTTAATCTCAAAGGGGTCAAACCATTTCACCAAAGCGTGGAGTCAAACTTCAAAGAATCCAATTGCGTTTGACTATCAGTTTTTGTTCTTAGACAAATTTAGGACTGTCTTGAATACCAATGGTTCAAGAGGAAAGCCTTTACAGATCTATAGTTTGCCTCCTTTACGTACGAAGGAGAAAATAGAGTCTGCTGTGCTTTTTGAATCGGCTTTGGATCAAAGATATTTTACAGAATGCGAGAAAAACAAAGATTTTCGTCCTTGTTTGATAGCAATAACAGCTGATGGTTATCTTATACGACAAGACCTCAAATCTGGTAGAAAATTACAATCCATTTATTTGTCAAGTAAATATAAATTCAAGCATATTTTCTGGGAAAATGATTTACATAAAGTGGTTCTTTCATCTGTTCATGCTAAAATGCCTCCAAGAGCAACACTGGATAATAGGTCTTGTGTTTTTCGCACATTAATGTACTTGACATTGTTTGAAATTGCACCTTTGAGGTTTCTAGCGAATATTCCTATAGTCAGAAATGTTTTTGGTGCTGATGTCATTGATGCATCAATTAGTCGTGACATACTCTTCCTCATGCATCAAGGAGGAATGATGAAACTTTATAGCCTTAAAGAAATCTTAGATAAGTTTACAACTAAAGCTTCAATAGGTCAGTTGTACAATTTTACTGAATGCAGTCTTGATCAACATGATGTGTCCATGAGGATTGATGAAAACTGGGGAACTGTTGGAGAGTATCCCTTTGGGGTGCCAGTTAATGTCAAATTTGACAACAAACCCACTCTTCTTCAACAAATTTGTAGTCACCAACACTTGCTTTCATTTGGAGGCTTTCCATGGCATTATATTGTGTGTCCAAAGAAACAAAATAGTGTATTTAAAGTCTATACCATGAAAGATCAGGTACCTGTGAAACATGGTCTCCTCAACAGTGCTGTACAGACCATAGAGCAAGATCAAGCATACTTCCACAAAGACAACAGTGGGCGTATTTTGCACATTGGGTCAGATTTTATCAGGTAAAGTATTAAAAATAGATTTTAGGAGCATAACCATCCAATGCTGAGTTGATCAGAAAACTTGTAAATACAAATTATATTCAATAAAGAACCAGGAATTTGAAACTATTCTCTTTAGAGTCCTGTTAAGACAATAAATTTACATTGCAACTTTATTTTTTCAGCTATTTAAAGCTTGATGTAGTCCACAATGACCAAGAAGAGCAACTATTTGAAATACAGACCTCTCACTCTATCAATCTACAAGATGTCAAGAAAACAAATGGTAGCATGACCCTATTTAGTTCATCCGGAAGGAGAATAAAGTGTAATAGCACTCTAGACTATGATAACCCAGGGTATTCATGTGTCAGAGATGTTGACTTTGAAGATGAACTGGACATCCTCGTAGTGCTGTCATCACAGGGTGAACATAAGGGGGGTATTGGACTGTATGATAATCAGACTGGAATTCTTGTGAAAGAAATACAGCTTGATTATTGGGAAGATGACAGTGATCATTCCATCCATATGGAGCTAGATACAATTGTACACATTTTTAAAAGACCAACTAGGAACTATTGCTGTGAAATTTTCAAGTTGTTGGTTAATAATCATTGTTAAGTAATTTTGGTCTTAGGAAGCATTCATAATGTATGGCAGAGGAGGGGGGGCAGGTGAAATTTAGGGGGATTGGAAAAACTTTTACCTGTAAAATGGGTTCCAAATTTTTTTTAGGGAATTGGGAGGATGCAAAATTTTTAGAANCATCCATCCATCCATCCATCCATCCTTCCATTTATATCCTACCTTATGTTTCCCAACGTAGATAGAGGCACACCATTTTTCAAATTTGTTACACTTAGATCCATAAAACTGTGTGAAAAAGTGAAATTACATATTATACTAAAATAAAAGAGTATATGATTCGCAAAAGWTTAACTTTATCCCGTTTAAGGGAATAATTCCTTACCCTAATGATCGTTCTGCCAATGAAAATGATGAAAGCGCTGTAGCTATGGAGTGAATCCCATGACGGCTTGGCGACTTGATCGTTGGATACATCCTTCTCAGTCTAGAATAAATCATTATATAGTAGAATGGTTTTCAAAAACCCGTGAAACRACGTCAGTGGCGGATCCAGGATTTTGTTCAGGGAGGGGTGCTGCGCACAAAGTTAACCCAGGGAGGGGTGCACCCCTTAGAATCATAGGGAAAAAACAGTTTTGTTATCTTCGACGTAGGGGCACAAAGTCGAACCAGGGTGGGGTGCGTACCCCCTGCACCCCCCCCCCCCCCCCCCCCCCGCCATACATTATGAATGCAGCCTTAGCTTGATGCTTTGAACAAATTTGTATGAAGAAAAGAATAAAAAAGTTATGGAGATTAGTGTGTTTATATTCATAACACCTCCCTATCCCAATAGCTAAGAAAAAGTACAGCATGTGTTTTAAGAAAGGGAAGAGAATGCTTGATTTGTTGAAGTTTTTGGGCAGTGAAATCCCATAAGAACTAGACTCTTTTCAAATTAGTCAAATATTTAGCGTCCGTTGCAGACGTCCTGATCAAATTCTTTGATTACAGTCTGGTATACACCGGGTTAGCCTTATTTCAGTGTAAAATATTCGCGAATACCAATGGCAAGGTAAAGAATACACAACTTCAACTATAAAAGCACCAGGAAATTTCACGGATCTTGGATGTAATCAATATTAAAATACTGTGTTCATAATAATTCCATATGAAATCAGGGATAGGCTGTGTGACAGAGAATTTCAAACTGGAGTACCCAGGTTATGTTGCTAATTTTGTGCATTATGGAGAAAAGGTGAGATTTTTTGGGGGAAAAGATAAGAAATATAGTGTAAAATTACGGTAGATCAAAATTTAAATATATGTCAACATTCATTACATTATTAAAAATCATTTTAGTTCTAAAATAATTTTATCTTATATTATTATTTTGTTCACCTTGTTTTTTATTTTATTTTTGTGATATTTGCATGTCTCTATAAAATTTGCATTTGAAAAAAAAAGGTCTCAGACTCAACTTTGGTTGCCCTGACTAAGACCTCTTGTATTGGTATCAAACACCAAACACTTTTAATTTATGATTCCAACTCTTTTGGATATGAACTCTGCTGAACGATCATCGAGAATCATTCATTTTCCGGGGTTCCTGTGGAAATTTTATTTACTTCCGCCGGAAGAAAAAAAAAATCTCAAAATTATCTCATCTAGTCTTATAGCTATCAATCTTCGTGATGTTTCTATCACTACAATAACAAGTACAGCCATATATCATGTCCAAAGCCTTTTATATCGCCTTTCCCCACGCGATCGTATCATTTTCCTCAAGTCTTATTTCCTCTACGCTTTCTAATCCAATCAAGGAGGGGCATTGTTTTCGTATTCTGACCACTAAAATAAAGTTGACGTGAAAATTCCACATCACGGACGTCATCATTTTGAATTTGCATAGATGAATTAAGTCACACTTTGTCGTAGGTTGAATAGGTTTGGGGCATGTGTGGCTAGCAGGCTGATTTCTTTCGACAAATCTCCCCTACAGCCAATGTTTCTCGTTTTAACAACTGCTTTGGATCATATTAAGCTCAAATAGGTATTTTTGAGAGATTTAAGCAGGGTAAGTCGTGAGTTGTTTTCAAGTTTGATCGTATGTTGTGTGCTGTTGTATGTGTGTGAATATATGATGTCATGTCGTTATAGTCGTCAAATGACCTCCGGTAGTGAAATTATCTTGAAAACTGCCAGCACTTAGCGGCCTATACTCACTGTTTTCCATCTTAAACTATCTCTAAACTAAAGCTTGTTCTATAGGTATGTCTTTCTGGCTTGTATACGGTGTTTTTCGGCCTATGCGAGTCAAAAGGATAAGCTTTCTTTGTAAAAACCAGACCAGTCTGAGTTCGGAAAAAAATGGCGCGAGAACTTGCAAATATTTCTTCGTTTGTCTTCCAAAATCATACCTTTTTGAAGTCTAACTCATAATTTCATGGCTATCAGTTCTTGAAAACACTTCCCAAGCCAAAACCCAAGAACAATGTTCTATTTTGTAGCTGAAAAGATGGGTGTAATACATGTAAAACGCGCTCTAAAAACAGCGAGGAAGTACTAGAATAAGCGTTTTATTTTTATATGTCTAAAGATAATCTTTCCTAAGACTTTGACAAAGAAGTTAGCGGTCAACATTAAATTCTATTTCCGTTTTTCAACTTACATTTTTATTCTTGTGAATAGATGTGCTAACAACCCCAGAAATAATCCCTCAAAGCAAAAGAGTTTGAAGAATAATTTTTTGCATTACATGTAGACACGTGTTTAGGTATTTTGGAGCTAAAAAAACTAGTTTTATCAATATAACTGATCCTCTTTCTCTTCAAGTATTTTTAGTTAAGCACTTCTTGTGGTCAACCAAAACGTAGTTTCTTCATCAAGACACCTAAAACACTAAACTACAGCATAATTCTTGAGCTAGTGAGTCTTTATTGACGAAATTTTWAATCTCATTTGCAGTTAATGTTGCGAAAACTACAACATAGTCCAATTGTTTTGTTTTCATCCAAATTTTATTCTTTCCTCAAATTTGATTCCAATTTCGCGAGAAGTTCAAGATTGAAAGCAATTTTGAGAATAAAAGCAACTCTGTAATATTTGTTTGAAAATCTTGAAGAAAATATAAATCACTTTGGACAGTTATTCATTAAAATATTAAGGATTCTAGATAATCTTCAGAACTTCCAAGTATGTCTCGTTTATTTTCTGATACAAAAAATCAAAACATCTTATTGCAGGAGTTTCTTTTTTCCCCCATTGTTTTATTAGATTAGCATGGCAAGTAACATAAACATTATATTTCAAGTATAGAAACTATAAATCTAAAGTATCAATTTCCTGAGTATGTGTTTTTGGATGAGAATAGAGTAATTTCAAAATGGGAATGAATGGATTGTTATGCAGACTTGTTCAAATTTTTTTTTTGAAACATTGCTTTATTTATAATTAGATTCCAACTAACATTTTGATCTTGTTATTTCTGTAATACTTTTAAATATTTAACAGAAATAAAAACAACATTGTTTTTATTATGATAAAAAAAGTCATTATCACCATAAAAAGGGGTTTTTATTATCATTTGAAGAAGTAGCAAAAGTAACTTTAGTATTGTTTTTTAGAAGTGTTATCATTAAATTGCATATTTTTTCTCCATGATTCTATAAATTCTCAATCTATTAAATAAAGAATTATCTAGTCTTACTCACACATATGAATATGATGTTATTTTAATTCAAAAGTGGTTTTGTCTTGCTGGAAAAGAACTTTGTCAAATTAAATTACTTAATTTTAAGTAATTCATTCTAAAATTTATGCTTTTACCATATTTAAATCTTAATATGAGATGAAAAATAGATTCTCTCTTATCACAATGTAGTGTAAAAAAATAACACTACAAAATAAATTCTAAGATCAGTTTTTAAGCTGCTTTATTCAAATTCAATATTCAAAATTTTCATGATTGACATTACTTATTAATGACAAAATTGCAAGTTCTTTCTGGAAAGTTAATGTACCTAATGTTGTTTAATACTGTAACAATGTAATTTTTCAATGAAGAAGAGCGAAAGGCTTGTATTCCACAGTATTTCCAAATAGAAAAAACAACCTGTGTTTTTTAGCATTTTTGTGGTGGAAAGCTGTTTCTTAGGTTTTATTCTTTGCCTGATTGTTAAACATGATTTTTACCATTTTTTGACAAGCTATTTTTGAACAGAGTGTTAGAAGTTTCCATAAAATAATATAATCACTTGCATTTTAAATATTTTGATAATTAATTAAAAGAATAATTAATCCAAAGAATAATCATATGTGTAAACAACTTCAGCCACTAGTTGAGAATTAAGATTGTTTTTTGTTGTTCACTCAGTTGTTGAAGTCCTTAAGATTAGTTATGTTCTTTAATACTTTCAGACGTCAGACGTAAAAAAAAAAAAAATTCAGACGTAAACCTTAGCTTTGTTAGTCCTGCCACCTCCAATACAGTATATGCTGTCAGGATGAAATATGATTTGATAACTTTATTTTAATGCAGTAAACTTAGCATTAAACTATAAGGTATAAGTATTAAAAATAAGATTTCCCCATTTATTATGTTTTTTTGTGTGATCGATCTGGACTTACAAGCCATGAATGAAAATAATAATTTATCATATATTACTTTAATAAGTGCACATACCGTATGCTGAAAATATCAATTCAAGCATTGTGCTGTGATTGCCAAAATTTCAATTTTTAAGGAGCTCTTTTCAACAAGTATACTGAGTCCTGGGATGTATTTGTGAAAATGCATTTTTCACTCATATTATGCATAAATTGCAAGATTTCTGTGTTAAGGTGATCTGTGTGGTAGTTGTGTCAATAGAATAATTTTTATTTCATTTATTTCACAGATTGTAAGCCTAAGGGCTTCATAATTTCTACCGAATGATTGCAACATCAGCTAGGAATGCATCACATCAGCTGGATGAATCAAACATGAGGGACATGCAACATACAAGGTCTAGCAATATGTCTCCTCCAAGGAAAAGCCCCAGTAAACAACATGAAGTAAATAATGAATTTAAGTCAGTTGAACAACAGTATTCCACAGACTCTGAAAACATGATAAAGAGTGAAGATTCTGGTGTTCCAAGTGAGGAGTGTGTTACAATGTCCACATCCCCTCATAATGATATGGAAGATGAGGATACTGAAGAAATGAATAGGTGAGTAAAGGCTAAAAGGAATGTTTCTCAGAGCTCTAGGGCTATATTTAATCATGAACTTGTATGAGTAGTGGTTAGAACACTCACTGTACCGGGAGGGGTTTTATTGGTGGTAAACTCAGAAGTTTATACTGTCTATTTTATAAACCACCACTGCACACTTAATTAATTCCTGATTGTAATTTTTATCTGTCTTTTCTTTTCTCCTGTAATTCTAAGAGCGATTTTCTGTGAATTATAATCATGTAAAATTGTTAATTTGTGTGCAAAATTAACTGACCCGTCCCCCTGCTGGGCTTTGTCATTGTTATGTAACTGTAGACTGTGAGTCACAACTATATCTTGTACAAGGACCTAGCTAACTTTGTTTATGGAGTTTATAATACACTTGGGAACAATTTTAATTGGTGGTGATTGGTCACTTCATGTGAAGTACAGTGTCAGACAGACTAGAGTACGGAGGGTCATGCATTGGAATGCCATCTGGAGCTCGGATTTTTTTCTGAGATGCAAAGTCTTAGTGTAAAGTGTAGTCACAGTGCTAGCAACCCTCTTACGATGCCCTGTTTCTGACTTAGCCTCAGTTGTTCTGCTGCAAAATAATAGAATGTAATGTACATATATTTTGAACAATTGTCTTGATAAATATTAATTTGGACATAAGAGAAATTCAAAGCTGAGGCWGGAGCAATGTTGTTTAATAGGTTTGAAAATTGCGCTGGATATTATTAATACAGAAAATATACCTCATTAAACACATTAGTTCTAGACTTTTCTTTAGTTTGTTTTTAAATATGAAAAACAATGGTTTATGTCCCAAGTGTGTTGGAAACGTAATCTCTTATTATTTCTATGCTAAGGAAATCAAATAAAAGCTTTAAAAAAACTGCGCTAACGCGAAGTTAATTTCAAAGAAAGGTTTTCTCGAAGTACATTGTTTTCAATTCCCTAAAGTGCTTATGAGAGCACAATAGCTTATAATGATTTTCTTTAGTGTAGATAAGAGCCGTCATGATTTATCAGAAATCTATGCTGTTTGGGTGTCGGTAATTTCCAGGTTTGCTCGTTAATGGTCGATCATTTTATCGTTCCAGTTCCTCCTCACAATGTTCTTGTCGGATGTGGACGTGTAGCCAGTGCAACAAGACATTCAATTCGGCCCGTGCGCTCAAGATCCACGAGGTGAAACAGCACGAAAATATGCCTAAGCAATACCTCAAGTGTTCCCATTGTGACGAGGTGTTTGAACACGGCAATCTGCTGCAGATCCACATGAAGGTTCATCATAACATCAAGGTACGTTGTCCTCAGTGTAAGGACGTCTTTGACCACCCCAAGGCCCTGTCAAAGCACGTCAAGGCACATAATACTGAACCAGTATGTCCTGTTTGTGGACTCAAGTTTGATCATGACAAGCTCCTTAAATTACACATGGAGTATTATCACAAGGTTTCCAAGAGAGAAACCGCGACTTTACCCGCCGAGCAGCTTGAAGTACAAACATTTCAGCCGTTGGCAAATCTTATTTCACCCGATTCCAAAAGGAGGAGTGAATCGCCTGAGAGAAGACGAGTAAATGGCAGTTCACTGTCACCAAATGATATACATCATAGAGAAGCAACACCAAGTCCAGGAAGGGAAGAGAATTTAAGAGAAGCATTCCATGAGATGAAAGGCGATGATAGAAACTCAAGACATACGAGCCAGTCTCCACAAGAAGTAAACATTTCAAACCAAGAGTTTAAACGAAGGGAAATGATTTCTCGCAGTCAGGGTTATGACAGTATGTATCATCATAGGCTGTTAGCACCGATCCATAACAGGGGACCTATGTATTATCATTCCTTGGATGATAAATCCCGGGTGCCTTCTCCGTTCGGGCTGATGCCTTTTCAGCCACCGGGGCTGCAGAGACGTCTCGAGAAGAGACCGTTAGGTCGGAGCCACAGCTTGCCTTTGAAGAAAGAGGCAGCTTACCACGACATGCCACCTGTTGCCCCGTGGCAGTGGGCGGAAGCCAACCCTATGATGTACGGCCCAGTGCCTAGAGAAAAAAGGATTGATCGGGCTGTCTTGGAAGCTGTGCGCAATAATCTAAAGGCCAAGCTAAGGACAGTTGAAGYAACATTGTTCGGGGAAGAAGAAGATCTACATCATCCACTGAGCTCTACTTTAGCTGAATACTACGAACAACAGGGGCCCCTTAGCAGCAGGGAGGAACTATCAAGGCAATACAGGCCAAGCGTCATCACTCCTAGGAGTACATTCGATAGCTTTGCCGCCTTCAAACGAAAACCAAGCCCAAACGACCTCGAACCACAAGAGAAGAAGATGTTTCGGTACGAGGAAAGGGAGGTGATGCAGGACAGCATGGAGAGTCCTGGTTTAAGCCCATCTCACAAAGCTAGCGCGATTCCTTTCATTCCTGAGATGCGACCAAGATTTTACGATCCCATCACGCAGTCGATGTGCGGTCGACCATTCAACACGAGAGACGATTCATCGATCTTAAGAAGAAGTGACGATTTGAATTTTGGTGACCAAGCTAAGATCTTCATCAAACGAGGCGCGCCAAGATGCAACCGCTGTCAACAAACCTTCTCGTCCAAGATGGAGTACCTCCACCACTTGATATCACATCGAGAAAAGGATGGCTTGGCTGACGAGAGTCCCGAAGAGATGGAGTTTATTGAAGGCGTCAGGCGTACTATGAATTTAAAGAGTTTCGCTATGGAGGGTCGTCATCGAACAAGCTCAAACACTACTCCAGAAGGTTCTCTTTCACCGAAGGGAGAGGAACCCAGAGGGTCCCAGAAAGCTGGTGGTGATGATGATGAAGCTGATAATACAGAAAAAAAGGCGAAAGCTAAGAAATCCCCAGGAGAGCAGCCGTCTCCATTGGCGTCACAAAGTGAAGAAGATAACCTTTCCTTGGGTACAGCTACCTGCTCGGAATGCAAAGATGTTTTTGCTGACTCCATGTCGTGTCGTATGCACATCGAGAAGCGACACATGAAGCCGCGCTGCCGTGAATGCGGTCTTACGTTTGATCACAAGAATCTCTTAAAGATCCACATGGATTGCTACCACAGCACTTTGGACGTTCTACAGTGCTACTATTGTGGCATGTCGTTCAAACAACGAAGTAAGTTTCTGGATCACCTCACGTCCCATGAAACCCAGGATATAAACAAGGATAAATTAGGCGAGCATGGGAACGAGTCAACCGAACCTGGAGGACGCCGTCGATGGGGACGCCTCGTGGCGTCTGCACAACTGCCTTCTGAAAAACCTGATCCAGGAAATAAAGAGCGCATTCCTTCGAGGAGTGACTTTCTTGAAACGCGTGAAACTTCGTTGTTCAAAAGCAATGGCAAAACCAAGTTAAGGAAGGCAGTCTCGCTGTCAACGTATACTGACATGATCAACAGAAACAAGAGAAGAGCGTCGGATTTCCTCCGTGATTCGCGCGCTAAGGGAGACGAGGTGATTGGAAGAGAAACAAGAACCCGCATCTTTCTTCCTAATTTTGAAGACAGAAAGATAGAAGATGTTTCAAGGTTTCATTCTGCTCACTCAACAGACAAGGAGTTGGCTTCACCTCTGATAGCGAGGCAACGCCCTTCGCAGGACGATACCGAGCAGTTGTTCCTGAAAAGAAGAGCTTTCCAAAGCAGAAACGACGACGAGGCACGCGCATTTTGGTCAGCAGAAAGACCTCCATTCCCTGCACACAGCTTGGAAGAAAACCAAGATCACATCGGTAGCTACGACGGCAAGAAAGACGAGTTACGACGGCTACAACAACAAAGTATTCCTGCCGAAGGAAACATGAGAAACCAACACATGCCTTTGTTTAGAAAAGCGTTCGTCCGAGACGAGGTAGAGACGCTTTATCAACTCAGGCATAAAAAATCTTTACATAATCCTGAAGGGAAAGACAGAGATTCCCCTCCACCCGAGCCTCCCGATCACAGAAGTGACCTTGTCAAGATCGAAAGAATCGAACTGAATCCCATCGCTATGCAGCATAAGCCAGTTGAACGACAACAGCCTGGATTACGACCGAACTATGATAGTGAACGAAGGGGCGAGGTTATTTCATCTAAGGAACGCTGTCGTAATGTTCCTGAACAAGAGTCGTATTCCAGTATAGTTCATTCAGGGAGTAGTCCCAAGAGCTACCATGAAGAAGCTGCCACCTCTGTCGTCCCTCCTCCTCCTCTTATTGACATAAGAAGCATCTCGCAGACCTCGTCTCCTTTGAACGTATGTTCTGCCGTATCTGCAGACTCCAGCCCTACTTCGAGTAGATCGAACTCTCCTCTGCCCGTTACCAAGAGCCACGACCCTAAAAGTAACAAAGGAAAATTCGACTTGGAAGCAAGTAACTCTGCTGTAGTAGAACCCATTGATAATTCAAGTACGATGAAGGACGTAAAAGGAAAGCGCCGCAACAGCATCAAAAAGCTGACTAAAGAAGCCTTGATTAATTCGTTGTCTTTAAAGCGAAGGGCAAGTGCTCCTGACTTGTACCAAATGCAACGAAACTCRACCGAGTACCCTTCGGCCGAAAAAGCTGAAAGTCCGAAGACTGATTCGACTGCAAGACCTGGTAGCCCTAGTGTAAGCAGCGAAGGAAGAGCAAGCCCTGTGGAAACTAAACACCACGGGTCCAGGTCACAGCAGTATACTCCGCGCAAACAGTCGGACCGTGACGTCACTTGTACGCAATGTGGAGTCAGTTTTGGCCACAAAAAACTGTACAAGATTCATTTGGACTCGTATCACGGGAAGCCACAAAACCATGAATGTTTGCAGTGTGGAAGCAAGGATTTTCGAGACAAGGATGAGTTTCTGAAACACTTAATGGCACACCAAACAAAAGACAAAAGGAAGGGCGACGAGGAGGAGGAAGAAAGAAAGACCCTCGTAGAAGATGGGGAAGGATTTGAAAATAGCAGGAGCCCGGGTGAAATGAGAGATGAGAATCTAGAAATAGCACCAAAAGCAAAGATACCTAGGATGGATACTCTATACGAGAAGAATAAAAACATGGAAGATGTTGATCCTTATCTTTCAGAAGTCATAGTTAACAACGCGTCTAAAAATGAAAATGATTTGAATGATGAGAGTGGGCGACAGTCAACAAGGGTGAACAGCAACGCGAAAGACGTGGATGACAAAGGAACGACCTGTTTGACGTGTGGCAAGACATTCGAGAACGGGAAACAGTTGGAGCAGCATTTCTCGTCACATGCGAGCATCAGTGAAGATGGTCGATTCTGTTGCGTGCTTTGTGGCAAGGCATTCGAGACCCACCGCAAACTAGAGATTCATTCTCGTAGCCATACAGGCTTTAAACCCCATAAATGCAAGCAGTGCGGACGGTGTTTTCCATACTACAGTTCATATTACTACCATAAGATGACCCACACGAAGGATCGCCCCCATAAGTGCCCTCTGTGTGGGAAGGGCTTCATACAGACTCGTTATTTACGCTCCCATTTAAGGACTCATAAAGACGAGCAAGGGACACTAAGTGATGAAGTCGATAGCATCATTCAAAAGGTAGAATTAAACTTGAATGATGAGACAGACGAAGAGAGTATCGATAGCCCTGGTACTGCTGAAGGCTCTCCAGCTTACCGAGCAAACGACGAGGAAGCAGAAACAGCAGAGATCCTCTGCAGCTTTAAACGTGGTCTGAATTGCAGCGCTCAAAACTCTGATACAGAATCGCCTCCTGTTTCAAACAGTTCTGTCTCTGATTAACGTTGTTTTAAAGTGCGCAGTTAACAAAAGCTCTGTTAGTGAATTGGTTTCGTGATTTATGGAGCGGATTTGGTATGGATGACCAGGAAAATGCGGGAAGTACCCCCCCCTCCCCCCCCAAAAATTGCCCAAGAAGGCCCGCTATCATCCATCATACTTTGCGGTCGTTTTGCCTGCTTTTTACAAGTCAGAAAAAGTTTAATTACTAAAGCTTCTGCGATATTCAATTAGTTTAAAAAAAGACGGGGAAAATAACCTTGCCACGGCACGCAAAGCATTTTGGATGATATGGTTACGTCTCACGTTAGGACTGAGCTGTCTTCCTCACATACCAAGTCTGATTTGATACTCAATGACAACGATTTTTGACAGTCGTTTTGGTTTTATAAAATCTTGGTGTAAATAAAGGAATTGTAAATACACTCCGTGCCCGATCTAAATTTTACTGTAAAACGGTAATAAATAAAAAAGTACAAACATTAGAAACGATTTTTTTTTCGTTTTGCTTTGCTCAGTTCCCTCCAACTATACCTACAAAACAGTCGAAAAATACTTTTTTTATATTTGTCATTTTCTTTTAATTCTTGTCGCTATCGATTAATTTTGTTATTCTCTATCCCTCGTCATATGGAGCGTTGCTATTAGGAAAACTCGTTTGAACGTGTTAATGGGAGATATTTTTAGTTTGTAAAGTGGATGATGACCCAACATGTGGGTCCTGGCGCCGGCATGACGGTTAATGACTAATCCTAAAAACGTCRCGCTCTTCACGATAGAAGAGTGATATCTCGAAAATCTTGTGACATATCTCTCGGAAAATTTCATAAAAGAACTTTGATTTTAGGTGGCATTTTAACAAGTTACGTTAATTTTTTTGCGGAATTCACTTTTATGTGCGCTACGTATTTTGCGCCAACTTCCCTCCAGCGATGTCGCGGATATATTTTTGAATGAGGAATAATCATAGATCACTGCGCAGTGATATGGTCGTTTATCAATTTGGTCACGTCTTAGTGTCGTCATTTACCGGTGTTAGTCAGTGGCGTAGCACTTTCGTTAAAACTTCCGTGCCTCCTAATCATGCTCCTATTGACGCATCACGTCACATTAATGCCACCCATCTTGCTGGGGGTTACGTTCAAATGTCGTAATAACTGGCTTGCACATCATGTTTTAGATGGCTGCTTTTCCTTAACGGTTAATTTCATATATTTCTGCTCTGTAAAATTGTGCTTAAGTTGTCACTTCATCTATGTTTTATCTTTCATTATGCTTGAGTGCTTATCTGCTTCATATTTTATGGCAGACAAAATTCTTATTCTTTCTTGGTTGCTTCAACTTGTCATTCAACCTATTTCATAGTTGGGTAAGAAATTCAATATAAATACCGGTTTCCAATATGGCCCTAGTATAGCAGCTAATGTGTGTGGGTGGAAGATGTAGTTCATTCTCAACTCGTCAAATTTTTACAGATGAAAACTGGAAGACCCAGAGAGTACACAAATCTACAACTCAATTCTGTTTTTTATTACTTTAAGATCCTTATATGAGATACAAAGTTTATTACAAAATCTTTAAAATCGTAAAAAAAAACCCATAAAAACAAATGATAAGAATTAATCTTTAGAAACAGCAAAGTCAGCCATTTCAAGGTCCGGTATCATCTTTAGGCACTAAAAAGAGACAAAACAGAAAAGCAAAAGAAAAATTGATATTAATTTTTTTCATTCCATTCACCTTTTAGTCTCTTTCAGCCAAACTTGGTGTCGGTCTGTATCCAGGAAGGGGGGGGGGGTACTCCCTTTGTTCAGGTGGTAGGGGTGATCTGCGCTCCTTTTAGGGTTGAAAAGGTTCCATGTGTGGACCTTTTTAAGTTATGCGTACCTTTTAGGGGCCATTTTAAAAATCGACCGCCGATCATCCCTACCACCTGAACAAAGGGAATACCCTCCCCCCCTGGGGTCTGTATGCTTCCCTCCCCGCCTTAAGGATTGATGCTGAGGAAACTATTCACCATTAGACCAATACATCATTTTCCCTTCCCACCTACCCAAGGATTTGCACTTGACAAAAGATGTCTCCCCTCCTCCATGAAGCATTTCTATACAATTCTATCCTTGATTCTACTATTTTCTCCTGCAAAAAGATTTTGTATACTTGTATAAAGTTCTTGATATATTTCTGGGAACTTACTTTTTCGTTTGCCAGATGTAAAACACAGACAAATGCAATGGGAACAGACAAGTTTTTAGCCATATTTTTGGATATCTTCTCAGGAAGATGGCTGTAGATATTCTTGAAGGATTTGGGTTCACTCCATGTGTTCTCTTCTAGACTAGGTTTTTCAGTTACACTTTCAGATTCATTTGGTATGTTTTCCTAGTCAGAATAAACAAGACAATTAGCCGGCATTGCATCTGAACTGAACCCTAATTGACACAATACAGGTTATATTAGACCATATACACTACCTATTTTGCCCGAATGGTGTACAACTAGATGTGATGATGCCCCCCTCCCTCCCCTCCTAGAAGAAGCTGTGCTAAGACAAAATCTAGGAACCTTGTTTTCGTCTTGTCCTTTTGTTAACAGATTCCACATGGCTGCTTTAAGTTTCTTGACATCCATTTTCTTGGCTGTTTTTGCATACCCTATGTCGATTTTAGCCACCTAATGAAAGGGAGAAAGATAAGACTTAAATTTCCCCAAAAATTAGGATTACAGTATACATAATTTTTAATTTTCTGCCTAGACAAAACTTTTGCTTGGTTTTACTCAAATTTATTTTYTGTCTCATGCGCAATCTTTGTCATCTGAATTGCAAGTTTTCAAAAGAATACATTCTGGCTGACATCACATGGTAGTAGGTGTTTAACCACCATTTTGAAGCAGTTAAATGAGATTTAAAGACTCTAATCAGCTGATTGAAACCCATATAAAAGCAATAGTATGGAGAATCGATGGTTCAGTTTATATACCTTATTTGGCTGAGCTATCAGACCATCACCAGCAAACATTGTCATGTCTATAGCACTCTCATTAGAGAAGCTCAATCCCTGAGAGGAATGACTAAGGTCGTATGTCATGTCTGTACCAACACCTCCTGCATTAGTCATATACTGTGAACCAGAGCTGTTTGTTCCACAAGGGACATCGTCATCATCACTTCCATCCTGGATATTGAATGATAATTATATCGAGAAGTTATTTTTGTGCAGCACCCACATTTTAACAGGACAAGAAGGGGCACTTAAAAGATACAGTCAGCTCTTGTTACAGCAGACACCGTATCGACCGTTTCTTCATGTCCGTAATGGTGAGCGTCCACAGTCATTTATTTGTAAGGATTTTTGTCAGGGATTTTGGCTCCTGTCCCTAATAGCAAGGTGTCCGTAATATCGGGGTGTCCGCAAGACGAGAGGTGACTGTATATGGGTGGCAGTAATCTTAGTACCCAGCATCATTGCCACCATCATCATGAGTAATGTTTGTCATTGTTTATCATCACTACCAGTATATTTATTACCACCACCATTATCATTACAGTCATCACCATCATTATTATGATCACCATCACTATTATCACCACCCCTATTTACTATTAATTATTATTAAATTATAATTATATATTATTTGGTTTACCTGAAGGTCTGGGCAGTAGTTTGCAGCATCATTTGGATTGTTATAGTTATACCATTCTGACCCTGAAAAAGGAATTCATAATTGACATAGTTTGATTATGAGATATTTTTAAATGACGACTGAGAAACATGAGGTTTGTCAGGAAATTAGTGCCTTCAACTTACCATCGTCGGCCACTTCTGTCTGTGGCTGAAGCTGTCTCCTCAGCTGGAGATACAAAACAGAAATTGTTGTTAATTAAAAGGCCTTTTTTCACGAGAGTAGCACTTAATAGCCAGTGGCTAACAAACCTGTGGCCCTCATTCCATGATCGAATTGGAATTTAGGAGTTGATTTTTGCGGAGGGAGGAAAACCAGAGAACCCGGAAAACTCTCGAAGCACAGGAGAGAACCAACAAACAACTTTACTCATATACAACACGGAACCCGGCAGGACTCGAACTTGGGTCGCATTGATGAGAGGCGAGTGCTCACACTGCGACGTCACCCGTGCTTCCCAAATTACTTAATTAATAGAAACACAAGATTTGATTCCATTGAAATCAACTTTTAATTACGATTATTATCTCCATCATTATAATCATCATAACATTAATGACCAAGGTCACCATAATCATTAATCATCATAGTTCTTAATCACTATTGTCATCACCATCGTCAATCATCATTGCTATCCAAATCAATTATCATTGTCATCAATCATCATCATCATCAATGCTATCAATCATTGTCATTATCAATCAATCATCATTATTGCCAATCATCATCAATAATCTTCATCAATCATCATCATCTTCATTGATCATACTCAAATATTCTTACCAGGATTTTAGGTTTAGTGAAAAGTCTAAACAAACTGTCAGCATCGTAGTGTAGGTCGTCTGGGAATGTCGTCTTGGCAGAAGAAAGCTTCTCTAGAGTAGACTTGGCTAAAGTTGTTGCTGCCTGCAAACATGTTATTTAGTCGTACCTTATATGAGACAGTGTTGGGTATTGAATTTAATCTTTCAAAAATGATGCTACTGACCCTGCTTTTAGAGAAGTATTGTTTAACATCCAGTTCTGTATCAAAATCAACTTTGAATGCCTCTTTCTTGCCCTTCTTTTTCTTGGATTGCTCATCTTGAGCTGAACTCRTCGTTATACCTGCCACTGATTGCAAGTTTGACAACATTTTAACAAATCACTCATAGATTTCCATTGACTTAGTCCTCTTATTGATCATAGATGAKGCCTTGAACTGTTTAAACATTGAACCACAAGCTCAGCGACATCATCTATGTTCAATAAGAGGACAGTCGATGGAAATCTATGAGTGATATTTTTTACGATAAAATAAAAAACACATCTAAAAACAAGGAAAAGGTTTTAAAATGCAAGCTGGCTCCATGCATGAGTGATTCATCATTCTGTATCTGTCCTCTTAGTGATCATATTTGTCAGCCAATCAGTAAAAAAATATGTTCTGTTATTGTAAAAAATATGATTGACAGCATCTAGCTGTAATGATTTCCTACAACATTGAGGCCAGCATAGCCAGAATGTCCCCTAACAGCCCCAGGATGCACTGCAATGCCAACTTTTCCCCTGAACCTCAAAATGTCTAATATTGAGCAGGCTTGAGGTTTGTTTTGTTTTGAGTACATACATTTGGGTAGTCTAGCCTTCATCTTCCAATGTTCTGGTCCGGCCCATGTAGCCAGCATGCCAGACTTGAAGTAAGAGTATTCACTGGGTTTATCTGATAGTTCTAAACACAGGCTACCCAGTGTTGCAGCTGCACTCCCAACCACATCAGACGGATATCTGGATATGAAAACAGGATCAAATGATTTTTTTTTAGGATATTAGCTTTTCATTCATTCATTTCTCAGTAAATTTTCTTTCTCATTCAAGATTTAAATTTAAATTTACTAGTCTTGCATTTATTCATATCTCATTCATGATTGTAAATCTACTTGTATATTTACTCGCTTCACATGTATTCATTCAATAATTTATTCACTGATTGCAAACCTTGCATCCTGAGCAGTGATAAGCCTTGCCTCTTTGCCATCGGCAAAGGCTAAAGTTGCATTAGCCATCAGAGCATTTGTTCCCTCACGAGCATCATGGCCATATTCGATGTCCTAGGTAACAACAAACAAACAAAAAATGAAAAACAAATTTTTATGATTCCTGCCTGAGATGTTTCCCCTACAAAATACCAATGTTTGGTGTGTCTTATCTAATGCACACTATTCCTTTGCCCTGTTATACAAGCTATTTAGTTGTTTTTTGCATATTTCCTGTTCCACTTCGGCTTTGTGTTAACATGTTTCAGACCATGTGTCATTCCCTTAAATGTAAGAATGTAGCTTAGATTCTTTGTCTCACACTCATTACTGGTGAACAAAGAAATAATGCTAAAGGGAATGCCATTTGAAATGTGAAAAAAACCCACTTATTTCAAGCTAGGAGGAGCTCAAAGCTTGGGTCATTGGCAACTTACAGTCCCTTTCAAAGTTCCCTGCACAATCTTGAAAGAAAGCTGTACCTTTACATTGAAGTGAGATGACCGGTGAGCTTGAAATGATAGAGACCTTTTTTAACACCTTGAACAATTTAATATTCATACGTCTCTATCATTGCAAGCTTGCCACTTGTCTTGTTTCAATGCAGAGGCATGGCTACCTTTGAAGATGGCGCTGGGAACTGTGAAGGGGACCCATACATTTTTGGTCACATGATCTTCCTACCTCTCCCATGTCGTCATCACCATAATCTTCCCCCACTGCTTCTGGATAATCGTCTGGATGTTCAGTTACTGATTATTAAATCGAAGAACAATTATAAACATCTGGAGTTGGGTTGCCTGTGGAGGTCCACCCACAGGGTGCCCAAAACAAGTAACGAACAGTTTATTACCTGGTGCATCAATATCAAAGGCATGTTCATCATTTTTAGACTTTTGTATCATATTGCTGAACTCTGGATTTACCTACAGGAATATGCATATTGTTAAATCTTATTTCAATTAAGTTTTATTTATGAAATTCAAATCCATTTCCTTTAAGCCTGGTTCACACTAGCGTCGGAATCGGAAACAACATATGCAGATTCAGAATTCCATTTATCACCTAGGCATGAAAAAAGCCTAGGATGCTTAATGACCAGTACACTACTTAGTCTTTGTATGTTGCTTCCAATTCTGATGCTAGTGTGAATGAGCCTTAAGAGTTTTTCCTTACATCGTCATCTTTGTTCCAATTGGTAAATTCAAACTCAGTAAAGTAGGGGCAGATTTGAAAGCTCTCAAAATTGATATTACTGTAGGCATCTAAAAAAAGAAACAAAACAGTTGTAGTAAATCTATCATATATTCATGGATGGTAATGGATGATGATAATGTCGATGATGATGCATGACAGTTGTGATGTGATTATGAGAGTGCTTATAATGATATGTTGACTACAATGGTGATGTTATATAAAATGATGTTGATGATGAGGCTGATGACCATGTTAAGGACATTAGTGATGATGATGATGCAAACTACCTCTTAGTTCTGATAAATCAATCATAGCATTATCCTGGGATGTTTGGCCTTCAGTGGTAACATTTTTGGGTGTCGTGGTAACCGCAGTAGAATCAAGTAGAAGTTCACAACCATCGTCACGCACAAACAGGTGATTGACAAGCAAGCCCTCCGTACCACCCTCGTCAAAAGCAGCTGATGTCTTGTGAAACAATGGGTCAACCTACAATATACAAGTTCACTCAAGCCACAGAATATCMCTCAAGGTCAAAATAATTCAAATCACATTTATTTTTCTAAATATGAAATGATAAGTTTTTTCAAATAGTCTGGACATTTTAAAGTCAGGTCCAATTATCTCAAACCCTGGATATTAATTTTAGGACTTCCCTCTCTACCAAACTTGAGGCCGTGTCTCATGGACTTGTAGCCATGTTTTTACCCTGGATATTACAAAGCCCTGTAATTTTGGATCCTTTTCCTTGCATGGTATATATGAGGTTTGAGATTCCACTGTACTTACTTCAAACTCCAGATCAAACTGATTGACATCTAGGTTCTTTAGATTGGACTCAATAGTATTTCCTGGTCTGTGGTTGATCTGATGCATAGAAAAGCAGACAATACTTTGGTTCAAGCAAAGTTTACATAGCCTGCACATGGGCATCTCTCCATCTTACTCATCCCATCCTACTCTTAGTGAAATCAATGGGAGGGGTTTGCAGCTTTATTATCATTCCATATTTCCAGGGTATGGCAGTTAAACCCTAACTCAATTCCCGAGCATTGAAAAAGATTAATAATTATCACATCTGTTACCCTCTTGGTCTTCTGTTTCCCAGCTTGAGGTTCATCTGTTGCATGGTCAGTGTCTCCATCACCATCTGAAAAATATCAAGTCAATACACTTTCCACAGGTATCCCAATAAACAGTTTTTAAGATATACCACAGGGTTCCCGATTATTGAAAAATCAACTTCTTGCTAAATTATGTTATGTTATAAACAGTCCTCATTTTAGGAAGGGTGGTAGCACAATGGAATTGGAATTTAAAAGTCTATGATATTATGTCATGATTCATCACCCCAGACAAATCAAAACATTCTATCAAACTTACAACACTCAATAAGTACAAGTTTTATCGATGGAAGCCAAAAGCGGAGATATCTGTAATTTTTAAATGTATGAGAAAGATGAAAAAGGTCTACCAATTTTATTATATTTTTGCTTTAGGGAATGCAAAAGTATCAATTGACAGATACCTTTGTTGTTTTCAGCCCGTCCTAACCCCCCTAACATTTTGTATGCCTGTGCATGGATTGAGTCCACTCGTCCAGCGTAAATCTTTGCACTAGCATCCAGAGTACAGCTTGCAACTTGAAAGTTTGTCATGTCTCCTTCCTTGACTGTTTTGATAAGGTCTTGCATGTAGTCAATCAAATGCAGCCCAAATGCATTCTTGGAGTTAATTTTCTGTCAAACAATGTGCAGCAGTAATCAAACTGAGTGAATGAATGAACAAACAGGTTGAAATTAAAGGAGCAGGTTCCATTTCGTTTCTAAGAGAATGGAAGAACAGCTATGAAATATTCATTTCATTAAAAAAATCATGTATTCATTTCTTCATTTCTCTCTATCTCTTTCTTTCTATCGAATTAACGTTGACTATTGATCCAACATGGTACAACTCTTGGTTATCTGGCCCAACCAAAGATTGTGGTACATCAAAGTTATACTATAAACTATACATATATGAGTCACAACAACAGCTGTTTTCATACTCACATTTTCAGTCGACAGTTTTATACAGTTAGAATACAAATCCTTTAGCTGGAAGTTGGTGAGACCACTTTTCGTCTGACTCCTAAAAATATAACGACATTATCAGTAGACGTAATTTAACGTTGGTTAAAGCTTCTTGTACGAATTTTCATGTTTAGATTTTATAAGCTTAATTTCGTACAATCTCCTAAGCATCACTAGATTTTAAGCGCTCAAAAAGTTTCGATAAAGAAGTTTGATATGAAAAGACTCTGATGAATGGAATCCAGGAATTTAGCTTCGCTTACCTTTCAGAATCCAATCCCCTACTTGCACTTCTTGGAGTCGAAGGAGTCGATAGAGCAACACTCGTAACCCTGGACAATCGACGCTGTCTCTTCTCAGCATCATCGTCATTCAACGTTAGATTATTAGAAGGAGTATTATTGCTTACAAGAGCTAGAGGTCTACGGCGTCTTGTAGCGGGAGAATCTATGTTTGGTGTTCGAAAGACTGGAGATGTCAAGGCTTCCTTTGCTGCCGCCATCTTTGTTTTGGATTATTTCAAAAACAGCTCCTAATTGATTTTAAAGCCGGAGAAAATTGCCAAGAATAATAAAACTTTCACTTTTCTTCTTACTGAGTTGAAACTGCTCTTTTTTTGAAGCAGATTTTGTCTTATGGTCAAAAAATGAGAAGAAAAATAGCTGATTGCCAGTTACAATTTTGAGCTTGGCGCTCAAACCGTTTGTATTGGTCATGTGATCAAACAAATAACGGGGGAAGGGAGGGTACTATACTTGAACCAAAATATCTAAATCCTTCAATAATTCACAAAACACTACAATAAAATAGAAAAACATAACTGAAGGTATGAAGAATGAGGATCAATTTTTAAGTTTTTTTATTATCTTATTACAAAATAACGATTATTCGTTTTGTGTAAGTTTGTCCYCTCCCTACTGCGTAGTTTTTGACATCGAGTTGGTCTCCCTGTGTCCTSACGGAAACCCTTCAGCTGTTTTGTTGTGATCAACTATTTAGRAAACATTTTTAGCACATGGCTGCGTTTTTAACTGCAAATCGTTGGTCATCAGGGATCGGGACCCATAAAACCAAAGAAGGACGAATAATTTGTACTGGTATTGGATGCCTGGGGTGTTTTCCAGAGACGAATAGGACAGAGGCAGACGAGTTAGGAATTTGTGTTGAAGAGATCCCAGACAAAGGTTACCTCAGAACGTTCCTTGACCAAGACAAGAATATTACTGTTGCTATGCAGAAAAATCCAAGTCCTGGGAAGATAAAAGGACGTTCGAAACGCAAGAAGAAGGTTACAGGATCTTCATTGTTAACTAAAGAGATTGATAAAAGCAATTCCGATGGAGACGATGTTAAAGTTGAGAAAAGTAGTTATGAAAGTAGTGTTCACGACATGGCGAGGTCTAGAAATTTTCGAACAACAGGAACGCAAACACCGGAACATGACAACCAAAGAATGGTTCCACACTATTCAGAACTCTCGAAAGAGGCACAGAAAATAGTGTCTTCAATGCTTGGTAGTAGAGAGTTTCCAGAATTCAAAGAGAAATACTCTAGTGAACAAGATCAGCTGTCCTCAGAACTCGAAAGGTGTAAATTAAAAAAGACAATCGGATACTCAATGGCTAATTCAGTTAATCAACATTACAACTTGACTGAAAATAATATAAAGAATGAAGCTGTTAATAGAAAAGTAAACAAAACTGCAAGAATCTTAGATAGTTTGTACGTTGTTTCCAAAAAAGACATTGCTGTTGCGAACGATAATATTTTGCCAAATGAAGACAAAGATTTGTATTGGAATAACTGGGACCTTGGAGAAAATGCAGTTTGTCTTTACTTTGCTATTGAATACTTCCGTAGTGAAAGAATTCTCCCGGTATTCAAGGTTCTTGAGATTGTTGAAGCTTTGAGTGAGGTCGTGGCTGTGAAGGACATCAAATGCGTTCAAAGAAATAATGATATTTGGCAAATTGTCCTTAGTAGAAGAAATGACTTGGGGCGTTTGAGGAAAAGAGGTTTGAGAATTAGAGGAAGAGTGTATGAACTTGTAGAGGACATTGACAGTTACTGTCAAACGATATATGGAGAGTCTTAGAGAAAAGACCAAGAACAATAATTTACTATAAAAATATTCTAGTTTGTAACGCTGCAACTAAGAATCTCTTAAGTATCATTGCTTCCCACATAGAGCGATAAGCAGGCAGTTTTTATTGACGATGAATTGAAATCCTGGACCTTCATCTTTAGCCAATAAGAAAAAAGAATTCAATGATGATACACTTTGCAGCTCAATATAAAGGCATTCTTGGGCAGTTTTGTCTTTGACACTATACCAATTTACAAACTAAACGTCAAAGACAAAACTGCCCAAGAATGTTTGAAGTTATATTTCACATCTTGCACATAACCTCAACTCTATGATCCCTCGCTACAATGAGCTATGAACTATTTCATTTATTTTTATATGATTCAATCACAACCACAAAAACGCATTTCAACGTTTATTATCTGTAGAAAAACCATTCTTTATCAACATATAGTGAAGTGAATGCTTTTTAAATAACAACTTTGTCTTTAAAAACTTAGTATTAATTAATATTAACAGTTATTTAATTAATAAGTTTATATGATTAATACATGCAATAGGAGCATTTGTATGATTAAATATGTACATCTAACAGTGATTTATAGGTCGCTAGTGTTGTTATAAACTCCTAAAATTGAAGTTTTTGAGGTTTCGACTGCCTTTGAAACTGAATGTCCAACTTTAGGGTGATAAGTGGCCCCTGAAATTGGATAATCAGTCTGGTCATACCAGTTACTATATACATGCTATGGCAGAGTGAAGGAAATCTTTGTATAACAAAATCATGAAACAATCATAGTGGAACTGTCAAATTAAGCCACTAAATGCATAGSCCTTGAGTTTCTCTGGTAAGTTCACAAGAATTTTTCAAGTGAGTATTGGTTCAATCAATGGACATCTTTACTGCCTGAAACACATTGGCAAAAGAGTGGCAAAACTTACAACTAATAACATATGATTATGATTGCTTCTGACATGTAAAACTTGAGAATAGTCCCATTTACACTTCCCTGAGCCATCTTGAAAGCCATGCCCTTGCATCGAATCAAGACAAACGGTGAGCTTGCAATGATAGAAACGTTAATAATCTTTCAAGATGTTAAAAAAAGGTCTATATTATTGCAAGCTCATCGTTTGTCTCACTTCAATGCAAAGGCACGGCTACCTTTCAATATCGTGCAGGGAACTGTGAAAAGGACTATTAGTCAAAATATCATATTGAAAACCCATTTTAGAATGTGCTGAATCAACTTTGTTCCACAATTATAATGAAGGTTTTTTCAAATTTATGGGAGTGCTTCAACATGTTAAAAATGTCAAAATAGTGGGGAACAACTGGTAAAATTTAGGAAACGTTTTTATCTCATTCACTCATTTGATTCCACTTTCTTTTGAAAGGGAAACTGAAATAATAAATGAAGTTTATATGAAAGGGTTTCAAAACAACAGTCTGATTTATCTATTTTTTAACAGTTAAGCAATAATCAAAGAGTACAGGAAACGAAACCTCAAGAGCACTTGTTGACTTGAAACAAAGTGACCAAGACTTAAGATTTCAATCCTAATTTTTTTCCTCGTAAATGGATTCAATCTGATAACAATTTCATTGTCACTTCAATGTACAATAAGTAGTAGTTACAGCTATGTATTTGACAACAGATCCATGTACAAATTAATTTATTTCCTGTCCAATTTTTGACTGTATTCCTTTAGTTGCAGTCGTTAGTTTAATTCCTATTTCAACTGCTTTTCATTATAAATCCCGATTCCCTATTTTAGTTTCAACTCTTTTTCAATTTATACAACAAAATTTGATCCACTTCAAGGTTGTTCACTGAAGTACTAAATCTTGACAATGACTTTTCCTTGCACAAAATTATTATCCAACATTATGTATGTGAAATAAAATCCGTCCAAGGGCTGTCACAATTTTTAACTCATTTTGCACTAAAGTCACCCAGAGATCCTTTTCAAAAACGTTTCTATGATCAAGACAGCTAACAAAAATATTTTTTAAATCTTACAAATTTGAAAATCTTTCCTAAAACTACTTTTTTCCAAATTTATTTCTCTTACACAACTTAAAGTTTTGTGGAAACCTTATAAAGAAGTCAAGATTTTGTACCCTAAGCAAGTGAACCAAAAATTACACAAATTACATTTGAAATATGCTAAGCACCTCAACAATAATTATTATTCTTTGCCCTATCTATGATACACTTTCACAACAATTGATCATTTTTTATCCTTATATTCAAATTATTGCCACTTTTGAGACCTTTTTAACAAACATTATCACAAAATATTTATGTGTAAAAGTGTTCCAAACCCTATGAGAAGACTGTGGTTTCTTTTGAAGAATAATAAAATAAAAAGTGGGTCGGACTGGGTGTAGCCATTGAGGGGTTGCATTGTTTCTAAATAAAGCAGGGCTTCAAAGAGTGGCCTGCCAATGGCCAGATGGCAGCCAAACAAGGAAGGACATGGGAAAGGAAAAAAATAACTAAACAAGGTTAGTTGGTTTAAATTGGGTATTTAGAAATGCTTGCTACACTTAGTTGCAGTCCACTGCAAAAACTTAAATTGGTGTGAACAAACCTGTTTGAATGCAAAATTTACAGTCTTCTCAAATGCACAATGTGGAATTGTATGATTTACGATGTGTGCCTATGGAATGCCATGGAGATGCCTTGATTCATTTGACGTCCACCAAGACCTACTCCAATTTACAAGGTTCTATTGAGAACTACTTTAAAGCCAGGTCATAAAAAGTAAGTCAATAGAAAATGCATGGAGAGAATAACGATGACTGATTGTACCTAATAACTGATCTGCATTTTGATTCTAAGCTATTAAGGTACAGAACCTATTTTTATGCAGCTATCTGTACAAGTATAAACAGACTTAGAAATAATAGAGCATTTTCACGTGACGTCACAGCGGCCATGTTGGTGTACTGAGGCAATGCATTTTCTATCCTCTTGGAATTAAACTATATTTTGATGCAAAAAACCGTGCAGAAAGTTTCTATTGCTTGGTACACCAATATGGCTGCCTTCTCCTGTGAGTGAAAACGCTCCATAGAATTATTGTTAGAGTTCAATAAATTTATTTCAAGCTAAACTAGACATCAAAAGGTAACAAAATCTGTGGGATGTAGAAACTATTTCTGATATATTAGAAGCAGAATCATCTTGATACGTAGGTATATGTCCGTGTTGGGGTAGTTTCTTGAGGTTCGGTATAGTTTAGAAAGTCCCACATGAGGATTGTGTCATCATGAGAGCTACTCACTATTTGAAAGTCATCAAATTGTAGTCGAAATACTCGGCCAGTGTGTTCCTGCAATAATAATGATAACAATTTTGAGTTACACAGGCAATAATGTCTGGAGTTATGAATGATTTCAGGAGGGAAATAATATCATGAGTGGTCTATTGCAAGTGCACTTGCCTCTTGCTTCTGGGGTCTGGGGTCTTGGGTTTGGTTCTTGGACTCCCATTTTATTTGAGTAGAGTTTGTTAGGTCCCTCCCTTGACTCAAGAGTTTTATATAACAGTTACAACAGTTTTTATTTACACAAAAAATATATACATACATAAAATGAATACCTTATAAATATTGTGGGGGGTGCAAGAGAACAACCTCAAAGATTAAACAAGCTCTTACACCATTTCCTTTTTTTGGGGGGGGGGGGGGGGTTTCAGATTTCTTTTCTCCCAAAAACCAAACGTGTGGGAGGAAATAAAAAGAACCTTAGAGACTTACCACTAGTGTTCGTATACATAGAGATCCTGCAGGTGCTCTGGGGTCTAAGGCTGCTTGCAAGTCCCATACTTTTATTTTTCTGACAAAGAAAAAAAGACAACATCAATTACAAGACAAGTTGTTAGTGAGCATTAAACTACTGTAGTATGGAACACGATCCATAATAGTTTTATCCTAACAAATGTCATTTTAGTTGTAAGCAAGTCATTGTTGGTGAGAAAGGAACAAGTTGTAGAAGAAAATGTGAAAAAGAAAGAAAATTTTCAATGTGGTTTACAACCTTAAAAGGTAGCAATAGTAAAATTAATGTGTTTCTGGAATGTTTGGTTGACCTGTAAAACCTACCCATCATATGCTCCACTGACGATTCTTTTGTTGTCAAATCTGATACATCTAAACAAGACAGTCATGACAACTATTAGTAATTAAGCACATGTCAACTAAAGTCTCAACTAAAGTCTCAACTAAAGTCTCAGCAAAGACCATGGATCTGCCCATCCATTTATACTGTTTATTAGCCATTCTGAGGTTGAGGGAAAAACTGGGCTGAAAATATGGTATTGCAGTGCACAGTGAGATTGTTTTAGGGGACAAAATAGATACCATCTAGGAAATATGTCCTCTAAACAGTCTCAAAATACAATTAGCAATGCCAAATCAACCATTTTCTCCCCTCAACCTCAGAAAGGCTAATTGTCCCATTACTTTTAACGCTCAAGTAATCTGCTCTATCACACAGTGTCATTATTTGCTAATTTATTGACTGCACAGTCTATATACACTGCAAATTTATATAACAGTGCAATACCTGACTAGTTCCTCGTGACCCTCAAGAACTCTTAGACATGCTCCACATTCTATATCCCACAATCTGAAAKAATATAAATATTAATAGCAATAATTATAGTGCTCTTCATAACTCTGCGACCTATTGACTTATGATGTCGAGCATTTTGGCTTCTGTCAATCAAACTTATGACAGGCCAAGTTCATGTATCATATGACAGAAAGGATGCTTATACCTTATCGTGTTGTCTGATGAGCCACTGACGACAAGACGGTCTCTATACTGCAAGCAAGCAATTCCTCGTCTATGTCCATTTAGCGTCCTTACAAACTCACATGTGGATGTACTCCAAACCTTAAAAATATACATAAAAGATTTAAATACTCACTCATTTCCCTTATTAATGATATATATTATTTAATACACATAGTACTCATAGTATTACATACCTTAATTGTTCTGTCACCGGATGCAGATACAATGTATTTATCATCAAAGTCTACTACATTAACAGCAGCTCGATGTCCTACTAATACTCTTCTTAAATTTATATCAGTAGGTGACTGCATATCCCATACTGCAATGGAACGATCCTGAAAAAGTGATGACTGTTATAAAAAAGGTCTTTATCGTTACATATTCATGTATTCTGGAGATTTGTGTCACCCACTTCCAATTGGCAGTTTAATTATTGCAAGATGTATGTGTTTTGGGGGAGAGAAGAGAGAGGAATGTGTTGCTGGCTATTAGGGAGTGATCTCCCTTTAAATAGCAATTAGGTAGTTAAATATGGAAAAAGATGGGATAGACAAAGGGACAGCAGAGAATGACAACTGACACTAAAACTGTTAATGGTAAAGAATATGTAACAGGCAAATGCACTAGATTTTAATGCAGAATTGAGAAAAATTAAAAACAACTTCAGTCTATGACAGGATATTTGTTGCTGACCTTTGAACAAGTGACCATCATTCCTTCCTGGAACCTCAGATGAAGAACAGCTTCACAGTGATGGATGAGGGTATTCAACATCTCTCCAGTGTGAACATTCCAAACTCTAGAAACAAATATCCAGCATTAATAACAGTGCTTAAGATTAATCCAACACCATAACTATTTTCTTCCATTTGTGATTGGTGACAAAATAGGCAGGCATTGATTTACCCATTTCTACTTACAGTGCAACTACTATAACCGGGGCCACTTAAATAGAGAACCAATGGAATTGTAGGATAAAAACAATACATTCCGACTTTGGTTAGTGGAGCCAATCAGAAATCAGCAGAAAATAATAGTCTTTCTACATATCTTTTTATTCCCACGAGAAAATGTTGATCGCTATTTAGTTGTAAAAAATAGTGGCTATTTTTAGGTCATCTTTTAACTCATTCTCGATTGCAGCATAGTTACTTAGTAATTACCTGACAGTGGAGTCACTAGAACCAGTTACTATCACATTCTCATCATATTGTAGACAAAGTACAGAACCTGTATGTCCTGTCAACACCTTGWTACATTCTAGATTCTTTTTATCCCAGATCTTTGGAAACAAACAAGCAATTAATAGAAAATCATCAATAAAGCAACAAAACAAAGGTTGCTATAATGCATTCACCTGCTATTTCATAGCATTTTAATATTGGACAATCAGTAGCTTTAAAGTGCATTTAATGGCATATCATAATTGATGTTACCTTTTTATCTAAATGTAAACTTGGTTGGACTTCATTGACAAAGTCAAACTAGGGTCTTACATTGATAATTTATCCAAAAGCTCCTTCTATTTTTATAAATCATTTACCAGAAAAATAAAGCTGAATAAACTTATTGATCACAGCACACAGTCTTATTTTAACTGTGATTGAAAAGTAACATTTTATCAAGTAAATTCCTCAACCTGGTGCAATGAAATGCTACTGCAAATGTGTCTATCAGCCAATCACRAAACAGCACTATATTAATTAAACTGTACTACATTTATGGTCAATCTGCCATGACTCGAAACAGGTGAACTACAGCAGGCTATTAGTAATATTGTTTTAATCTATATTTCAGGCTGGCAGCTGGAGAATCTCACAGGGTATTTTATATGAACTTCCCACCTATGATCTGACATATTCAACATGTTAATTTGAGCATTATCAATAATAATAATAATCATTATTAATAACAGAAGGGTCAAGATTACCTTGATAGTATTATCTCTCAATCCACTAACAATCTTTTGGTCATCATACTGTAGACAGTAGACTCCTTTACTGTTTTCACTTCGGCAGTAGATTCGATGTAATGCATGGTGGCCACATCGCCAGTTTGTTTCTATAGTCTATGACAAAAATTATCCAAAAACATCTTTCAGTATAATCAGATAGTATCAAATATGAAGCAATGAGATCTTTACCTCCCTTGAACACCCTAAATTCTAACTTGATCTGTGAGTTAGCCATGCAGTGACTTTGATCAACGTAGAGGTGGTTGTTGTTGTTGTTTCAGGGTGCTATTAAAATTATAAGGTTTTTGTTAGCGTAGTGTGATGTGATGTGATCCAAAATACTCCAGTTTCCAGGGCACGAAATTAACTTTTAAACCCACTAGCAAAACCTTGCTAGTAAGTTTTGGTCTCATTAGCAAAAATTTCCAAGTCACTAGCGATCAGACACGGTGAATTACAAGCTTTACTTGACGCAAGTTCTAATCTTTTCAGTCCTTCAATTTCTGGACTGTGGTCATACTCGCAAAACGTGGCTAGTTAAACTTTTTGTCACTCACTAAATACAAAATTTCTCCCACATTTTGCAAGTTTGCGAGCATTAATACATACATACATAAACTTTATTTAACCTC